AAAAATGTCACAAACAACACTCAAATATTACATACAACACCCAAATATTATATACAACACTTAAATATCACATAACCATAACAAATATCACATACAACACCTTAATATCACGTATAAACAACAAATGTCACAATCAACACTCAAATATCACATACAACACACAAATATCACGTATAAACCACAAATGTCGCAAGCAACACTCAAATATCACATACAACACTCAAATATCACATACAACACCCAAATAACACGTATAAACAACAAATGTCACAATCAACACTCAAATATTACATACAACACACCATTGTCACGTATAAACCACAAATGTCACAAGCAACACTCAAATATCACATACAACACCCAAATATCACAAATCAGATCTAAATATCACATATAAGGTAGAACTGTCACATGTACGATTGAATTGCCACATATAACATTAAAATATCACATGATATGCTTATTTGTCACATTTACGGTTAATTGTGATGCATATATGTTCCCTCATTTTCCCATTTAACAATGAATAACTAAGAAACATAACAACACTCCCAAATTAAACTCTAATTGGATCAAAACCATCCTTACAAAGGATTTCAACCCATCAAACAAAAAATACATCAGTAAGTTACAAACACAAAACCATTCTTCAGAAACCACATCAGAAACCACTAACATTTAGCAACTACTTCCATTGCTAGCATACCATTCATCTATTACATGCATATTGGTGTTCCATATCGTACACATTTTCTCAAACACCTTACATTCATAAAAATTGTGCCCAACTAAAAAACACATCACTCTATCTCATAGGCATTTTCTCAAACATCACATATTCAAGAGAGCTCATTCAATCAACAAACACAATAAAAAAGAGGAACCTTACTTACATTTAAAAAAAAAACCTTTCTCATAACTATATTACATATCTTATACATAGTGCAAGAAGAAACATCACTAACAAACTGAAGAAGTTGGCACGTGTGGCAGCCCTACATACGTCGCCGACCTCGAAATCGTAGTAGTTCGCCTCCGTCGCGTCGGCCGTCAAGAAGACGAAAGGCAATCCCGTCGTCCTCCTTTATTTTATCATTCTCTTCCAAGGTCATCTCCTACAAGGGGCAGAAGGGGTTAATATATAGTTGGCAACCTTGGCGCTATAAACTAGTTATTCAAAATTATTTTTTTTTCTAAAATAAAAACTATAATCTAGATTTACACATCAAAACTATAATCTATTTAACTTTTAGAAAGATCAATTGATAACCCGTTAACCAAATTATTCTAATACACTACAAATCATAAAAAATCATTCTGTTCAAATTACCAAATTTAGAATGTTGGATAATCCCTGAACACGTTTCAATGTTGGGCGGCTGCTGGCGTTGAAGAATCGCTCCGCCTTGAGAGGAAGCTTGGGTTCTTGGAGAGGAGGTCTCCGGCGTTGGCGGCAGAGAAGAATGGGCGGCCGTCGGGGCCTCCGGTGAACAGCATGGAGTCAAGGACTCCGCCGGCGCCGGATCCTACGACGTCGAAGAAGTCAGCGATCGAGGCTTTTTGATCGCTGGAGATGTCTCGGAGGGTGTGCGACAAAGAGTGGCACCGGCAAGGATGACGTCGTCATCGTCGCGGCCGTCTACGCAGATGATGTGGACCTCACCGGAGGCGGAGGACGTGGGCTTGCCGTGTTGGGTCGCGGCCGTCTACGCAGATGATGTGGACCTCACCGGAGGCGGAGGACGTGGGCTTGCCGTGTTGGGGGAGGGGGAGGTCTTAGGGTCAGCTCAAGGAGAAATGGGATCTGGGAGTATTAAATGGGGAAGGGTAAATTAGGAATGGATTTATTGGGTAGTGGGTTTACACAGTATTTGGGGGTTGCTTGCACTACTTTTTCGGATTAATGATTTTTGGGTTATGGTTCTTGAACTGAGGGTGGGGATGAATGAGCCAATTTAATTTGGTTCCCCAAAGCAATTTTCCCTATAATCAACAAGCAATATACAAAGGCGATATAAGATATGAACATGAAAGTAAGTGCGCCAATGCAATCACAAACAAACATTATGATTACGGAGTTCGGTCCCCACGACCTACGTCTCCGCTCCTCACCTCGAGGAGATCTCCACTATCACAACCGGGTTTTCTACGTTCACCCGAACAACGTTTACACCTCACAATACAATCACTATGCAAACACACCTTAGGGGAAATTATCTAATCTAGGAGCAATATTGATGGCATAACCTAAACCATGCATATCCATAATATAAAAGGCAAGCAAGATACAAATAAAGCTCAAAATTAGATTAGCACAATAAGCTAACTTGGATCTTTAACTCAAGGCGATTAGACCTTAAATCAAAGAGCACCAAGCTCTGATACCAATTGTTAGACCCTAGAGGGGGGGTGATTAGGGTCTTATGCTAATCTAATCCGATTTTATGCCAATTAAAACTTAATTAATAAGTTATCCTAGCAAGTATGAAATACAACAATGTATATGAGCTAGGATAAGCAATATGAACAACAAGATATATCCTAACAAAGAGATATAGGCAATGTATGTGCAAGGATATATAAACTCAAGGGTAAACAATCTAAACTAGATAGTGGGCAATATAATCAACAAGCAATATACAAAGGCGATATAAGATAAGAACATAAAATTAAGTGCGCCAATGCAATCACAAACAAACAATATGATTACGGAGTTCGGTCCCCACGACCTACGTCTCCGCTCCTCACCTCGAGGAGATCTCCACTATCACAACCGGGTTTTCTACGTTCACCCGAACAACGTTTACACCTCACAATACAATCACTATGCAAACACACCTTACACACTAAGTGTTGGTCCTAGCCCGTGTCCTCCTCCTCAAGTGTTCGGTTACAACCTCTCCCTAGGCACGTCAACCGACGCCACTCCTCTTGGATTCGACCCCGTCTCTCACCACACACTTCTCTCGGTGTACAAGTGTATTACAAGTGAACCCTCACAATAAGCACAATATAACAAATGATTGTTCTTTCTAACAAGGTGAGAACTCAATTAGGCTCAACTCAATATCACATAATCCCACAACCCAATTATATAATGTATGCAAATACAATAAGCTCAATGGTTGTGTGTGTAAACAAAGAGTAAATCAAATCAAACTAAACTCAAAATAAAACTAGCTTATGAAAATTATAATTAAAATAATAAATTGCTAGATAAGTTTAGAAACACTTTTCTAAAGATGACAAGAGAGTGGGAGAAGAGTGAATGCTCAAACACCAAAGGATGATCTCCACTTACTCTTATGAAATTTGCTTCACAAACAAAACTCTTAAACACTCTTTTAAACAAACACAAAACACCCTTAAACTTGTTTAAACAATTCCCATAGTTAGGTTGAAAGAGAACAACAATAGGGTATTTATACCCACTCATAAACTCTGCCAAAATCCCTAACAAAAGACAAAAACAGCCCCAGCAAACAGCTCAGAAAAATAGCCGTTGGAAAAGCAACAGATCTATTGTCGGTCGACCGGCGGAAATATCGGTCGACCGACGGAGAACAAAAATACTATGAACTGTTCTGGACCATCGTCGGTCGACCGGTGCGGTCGACTGATGGAGCTCTCGGTCGACCGTACCGGTCGACCGACCAACTCTCTGCTGCATGGTGACGAAAGAACAAATGATCGGTCGACCGGTGCGGTCGACCGAAAACTGACACAGCAGAAAACTGATATGCTGATTTTAAAATACTATTTAAAAATATCAAATAAATTCCAAAAAATATAAAACTTTGGGGAATGATTATAGACATGATAATAAACATGCTATAAAATATCATCATTTTACAAAATAGTCCAAAATATAAAAATATAAGATACTTGAATTTTGATGTTTTGAAATAAACCAACTTTTAAAACTTTGTGAAATGTTTTTATAGACTTAGTAAACCATGTATAAACTGATATTGAAGTCTATAAACTAATAAGACAATATTTTCACAAAATTACATATTCTATATATTGAGCTTAAGGTACTTAACACACATAATATAAAACCTAAACTAGATTACCCAAGCCGATCTTGATATTCAATAAGCTTGACTTGGTACACTTTGCGGATGAAGCTTGAACTTGATCTTTAACTTGAATTGTATGTTGCTTCACTCCACAATTCCGCCAACCTCCATTGGATATGATCGTTGAAGCGTTATTCCATCCATCCTCCAACTCGTTGTTTACCTAGAATAAATATGAAAACACAAACACTAGACAAACAACATTAGAAGTAAATTGTTTGTTAAACATCATCAAAACAAGAAGGCCAACAGCAAAGTCCACTGGATATCGCATCAGTTGTGCTTCAATTCGCGTGGATGTGAATGGTTAAAAGCTTAGCTCGCACCTGGATTTGTGATAGCTATCACTTCGTTAAATTATTGTAAAAAATTCTTGTACGCTGCTTATTCAAATACCATCATTAAAATTAGATTTGAAAATTAGAATTTTATTATAGATAAGGTAGTTAAAACTATAAAGGGGTATATTTGTCTAAAAAAGATTGTATGCTGCTTATTCAAACACCATCATTAAAATTAAATTTGAAAATTAGAATTTGATTATAGATAAGGTAGTTAAAACTATAAAAGAGTATATTTGTCTAAAAAAAATTTCTTGAATTCGTGGTTTTAAAGTGAGTATATAATTGGCTTTAATAATTTTGCATACTGATTGTACTACTTCAAAATTAATAGTAGGTGTACGACATACTCTCTTGGTCGCTGTGTGATGGTTTTCTTTATTGGATTCTTTTT